TCGGATCTGACTCAATGGCACATAACAACAACAACGGACAGGCATATGGTAGTCACTCACTAAGTGCTTGCATTCATTCATACTTTTTGCCAGACACTGTCCTCGATGCTGAGGATACAATCACCAATGAAACAGATACAAAAATCCCTGCCCTCATGTAGCTTATGTTCTCCTAGGGGAAAAACAAGCAGTGAGCAAAATAAATAAGTAAATTACATAGGGCTTGCAGTTTAAAATAGGGTAGTCATCAAGGAAGAGCTCACAGAGAAGCTGACATTTGCATAGACTTGGAGGAGGTAAAGGAGCAAACCACACAGATAACTTGGGGAAGAGAGTGCCAGGCAGAGGAAATGGCAAAAGTCTTAAGATAGGACAATTCTTGCTGTGGTCAAGGAGCAAGCTGGCCAGTGTGGCTGGAATGGAGTGAGGGGGAGAAAGAGTGATATAAGATGAGATCAGAGAAGTAAAGGGGGGATGGTGGCAGGCCAATGTAAGGACTTCAGTTTTTCCTTTAGGGAAAGTGGAGCCATTGGAGGGTTTTGAGCAGAGAGGTGACATGATATGACTTGGGATGTAACAAGATTTAACAGGGCTCTCTGGTGCTGTGTTGAGGATAGGCTGCTGGGAGGAAAGGGTAGAACCAGGCAGACATGTTAGAAGGCTGCTGCTGCTGTCCAGGCTAGAGGTGATGGTGCCTCAACCAAGGTAGTAATGGAAGTGGTGGTACATGGTTAGAGTCTGGAATTGGATGGATGGATGGGTAGATGTGTGGGTGAGTGCACGGATGGCTAGCAAAGAGAAAGAGAAAACAAAAACATTGCCCTAAAAGCTCACAAACTATTTAGAGAGAGAAAATAGCTACCTGAAGAGAGAATTGAACCAGATGAGTGAAATAGTGTAGGTGTGGTGTCTAATGAGTGTGCAGTCTGGGTAGGAAACAGGAATCCAGAGAAAGGAGAGCTCCCTGTGGCCTGGAGCAGTAAGTGGAGACTCACTGCAGTGGGTTGAATCTTGAAGTATGTTGTTGTTGCTGTTGTTGGAAGAGATTGAGTGGATTCTGACTCATAGCAACACTACATACAACAGAACGAATGGGAGGAGAGGGGAAGAAACACTGCTAGATTGTTAGAGACAATTATTGATTTGGGTGAAGGGAAGGGCAATATACCAAAAGCAAGTAACCAACACAATAACACTAAGGAAAAGGAAAACACAGATGGGTGCACAAGAAGTACAGACAACAAACATAAACTCTTTTACATATAAAATACTGCATTAGCAGTGATAACAAATGTTAATCTATGGGTAAAAAGATGGGCAGACAGACTATATGATCAGGTATGTCTAGACAAAAGGGAAAATACCCATGACCATATATAAAGTTGGCAGATGATATTTCTATGTACGTATTTGTATGTGCTGTAGGAATTTCCATATATATAATAGAACTAACAAGGGGCAAAGTTATGATAACTTCTAAGCCATCGCCAATCACCCTGAGGGAGATAGTAGTTCGGCCATGGTTGCAGGGAACATCAAGCTCAATTAGCATAACATACTACACTGAAACATTGTTCTACATCCTACTTTGGTGAGTAGTGACTAGGGTCTTAAAAGCTTGCAAACAGCCATCTATATGCAACAATGGGTCTCTCCTTGTGCACAGCAAAGAGTGAAGAAAACCAAAGTTGTATGGAAAGAATTAGTCCAAGGGACTAGTGGACCATGAGAACCTCAGCCTATATGACCATGAGACTAGAAGAACTAGATGGTGCCCAGCTACCACTGTCAACCACTTGGAAAGGGATCAGTGCAGCAGATCCTGGAGAGAGTGGGAGAACAATGTAGAACAAAACTCAAACTCATAAAAAAAAGACCAGTTTTACAGGTCTGATAAAGCCTGATGAGACCTCCTAGACTATGGTCCCTAGTTACCCTTCAGGTCTGGAATTGAACTCACTCCCATGTCTTCCAGTAAACAATAAACAGACATATAGGGTGAACATTTACATCAGGTAGATACACTCCTTAGAATAATTAATCATGGGAGAACAGAAGAGCAGTATTTGCACAGGGAGACAGCTCAGGAAGCCAAGAGTGCATGAGAAAGAAGGACACAGGGAAGAAGTAACTACAAGGAGGGAGTAAGTGGGAAGAGAGCTGTTACATTGTGGGGAATTGCAGTCAATGTCATCAAACAGAATGCGCATGTACAACAGAAGGAAACACTGCCTGGTCACAATCCTTGCTATGCTTGAGGCTATCATTGCAGCCACTGTGTCAATCTATCTCATTGAAAGTCTTCCCCTTTTTCTCTGACCTCCACTTAGCACAATATCCTTCTCCAGTGACTGGTCCCTTCTGACCACATGAACCAAAGTAGGTGAGACAAAGTCTGGCCATTCTCCTTGAAGGATGAGGAGGATCTAAATCAAAGAGAGGTAGAAGATGGGCTTGCTGGTAGAGGAAATGGTTTGAGCAAAATCTCCATGGTTGGAATGACCATGGTATGTTTAGGGGATGTAAGGAGACCCAAAAGGGTGGAGCATTGAGTAACTGAGTGACTGAGAGTGTGTGTGTGGTTTGTGTGTGTCGGAAGGAGGGAAATGTCTGGTTGATATCATTCCTTGACAGGAATGACTTGAAGCTGAGGAGTGAAGGTGAAGGGGAGTCATGGAGGGCTTTTGGGAAGGCATGCAACAATGTAGAAGAGTAAATTTTAGATCTTTAGAATTGAGTAAGATGAAAAGCTTTTTTTAAAAAAATTTAAAAAAAAAATGTTAAGTGTGATTTGGGGGAAAGTTTACAGAGCATATGCACTTTCCATACAGGAGCTCACATACACTGTCTCATGACATTGACTGCAATTTCCCACAATGCAACAGCTCCTCTCCCACTTCCTCCCCATAGTTACCTCTTCCCTCTGTCCTTCCCTCCCTGAACTCATGCTCCCTGAGCTGTCTCCCTGTACAGACGCAGCCCTTCTATTCTCCCATGATTGATCTCTCCAAGGAGTGTATCTACCTCAGGTAAATGTTCAGCTCATATGCCTGTCTTTTGTTTGGCTGGAAGCCACAAGAGTGGGTTCAATTCCAGACCTGAAGGGTAGTTAGGGGCCATAGTCTCAGAGGTTCTACCAGGCTCTATCAGACCAGCAAACCTAGTCCCTTTTTCTCTTTTTTCTCATGATTTTGAGTTTTGTTCCACATCACTCTCCCACTCCATCCAAGATCTCCTACATACATCTCCCTCCAAGTGGTTGACAGTGGAAGCCGGGCACCATCTAGTTCTGGTCTCAGAGTCAAATAGGCTGAGGATTGCACAGTGTACCAATCACTTGGACTAATTGCTTCCACACGTCTTTGGTTTTCTTCATTCTTCTTTGCTTGGTCCAGGACTTTTTGCAAAGTCCTGGGGTTTTGAGGCGACCTCTTAGCAGCTTCCATGACAGCAATGCAAAGACTGAGTGGAGTTTCTTGCCACATCTCTGTTGCCTGAAATTCAACCAGAGAAACTTGATTCTAATGTATGCTAGATTTCATTAGAACAAGCTAGTCAGGATTCTTTCTGGTACAGATAACAGAAATCAACTCAAACTGCCTAATCAAAAGAAGGAATTTATTGGCCATGTAGCTAAAAAGTCTATGGATACCAGCTTTAGGTACAGTTGGATCTAGATGTTCCAACAATATAAACAAGAATCTATTGCTCCACCATAGCCTCCACAAGACTGAAACAAGAGGAACTAGATGGTGCCCAGCTACCACTTCTGACAGCTTTAATAGGGATCACAATAGAAGGCCCTGGACAGAGTAGAAGAAAAATGTAGAACAAAATTCAAAATCATAAAAAAAGACCAGACTTACTGGTCTAATAGAGACTGGTGGAACTGCCAAGAATATGTCCCTTAGACACTGTTCTGGTTACCTAGTGCTGCTCTGACAAGAATATATACCACAAATGGGATGACCTTAACAAACAGGAGTTTATTCTCTTACAATTTGGAAGTTTTAAGTCCAAGTTCAAAGTGGCAAGCTCTAGGGGGTGTGTGAAAGCCCCTCAACCTTGGGCTTCAGCTCTGCCTCTTGTTCCCAGCCCACTGAAGCTAGAGACATCTCTTCACTCAGGCAGCTACTGGCTGCTGAGGCTAACAAGCCTAAGGTCAACAAATAAAATGGCACAGCCCTGATGTTACCAAACCACACGGCAGGCCATGTAAGTCCATTGTAAGTCCCAAGGTTGACAGAGCATAGCAGGCTGCTGAGCAACGACACGGCTACATGCAAGGTCCAAGCATGCCATAGGCTAGAGACCATTCCCAAGGCTTCTCCTTATATACAGGAAGCAGACCACATCCCAATGGCAGCTACCCAGCTGCTTTTGGTTGATCCCACCATGGAGTTGATTGCCAGTCTCATCATGGAGAATAACTACCACCAGCTGCCTAGCCACTCAATCAGGCCCAGCCAAGTTGACATACAAATTTAACTTCCACAGACACCCTTAAAACCTGGAACTGAACCCATTCCCAGAGATCACCTTTCAGCCAAATAATAGGCTTATAAAGTGAAAAATAATACATGTGAGGAAAATTATCCTCAGAATAATCAACCATATGAGACCAAAAGGGAAGTATTTGTCCAAAAAACAAAGCTCAAAAGGCAGGGAGGGGCAGGAAATATAGGCAAATGGAAATAGGGAACCCAGGGAGGAAGTGGAAAGAGCACTGTTATATTGAGGGGATTGCAACTGATGTCATGAAATCAATGTGTATAAATTGTTGAATGGGAAACTAATTTGCTCTATAAACTTTCACCCAAACAAAAATAAATTATCATTATTTAAAGAATCTATTGCTCCCAACTCTCAGAAATACCTTTTTCTTTTCAGCCTAGTCCTCAAGCAGGCTTTCCCCTTGTGGCACCAAGACCTCTAGTAGCACCAACTAGCAACCCCAGTGTAGTGAGTGCTTCTCTTTTCCCATAGTTCCAACAAAAATTTTGCAGTGGAGTATCCCTGGGTCCAGAGGGGACAAATACCCTGACTGACTGAACTCTTACCAGAAGAAAGGGAAATGGCTGAGGACATGTGAAAAAACATTTTTTTTTTTTTCTGCTATAAGTTTTTCAAAAATTAGTACCACAGATAGAGTCAATCTCTCCATTATACAAAGAGGAGACGGAGGCTCAAAAGGGGATAGGAATTTGCCCACATCAATGGGGGATGGGACTTAGTGAGGACATAATTTTGAGACTTGGGCTGCTGAGGTAGGTGGTGGGACAGAGAAGTCAGAAACAAGTTGTGGTTATGGTGGGGACTGTGTGCCTGGCACATAGTAGGTGTTCAGGTAGGGTACAGCCGAAAAAATGGACCAATGGGTGGACAACCAAATAACCAAATGAGATGTCTTCTCATAACACCAGAACTCCTTATGTTCTGCATTTCAGAGAGTGCCTACTTGAACTTGACTTCTGAGCAGAACCTTTTCCAGGAAGTGAGCCTGGGTGAGAGGCTCAACCTCACAGTAAATGTGGAGGCGTACCCGGGCCTGCAAGGCTTTAACTGGACCTACTTGGGACCCTTCTCTGACCAGTCCAAGCTCAATTTTGCCACCACCAACAACACATACAGGTACCACCTATCAGCTGCCATCTTCACAGCCAGTTGGGGAATCCTTCAGGCAGGTTCAAGACACTTGGATCATGCCTCAACCTTGCTGTGTATCCTTGGGCAATTCCTTCCCTTTCTCTGTCTCACTTTCCCTGACTATGTATAACCTCAATATCAGCCACCCTGTGTTGGAGATTTGGATTAAACTGGCTTATCCTCCTGTCCCACATCCTTGGGAAATCTAATGGCCACCTCAAAATCCCACCATTTCTTGGGGGTATACATTCTCATAATCAATCAGGAACCCTCAATCTCATTTTTTCTCCCCTTCCATGGTAAACCTAGATGCAGAAAACAGACCCTCACCCCATGATTTCCACTCATATGCATGTTCCTAAAAATAATTTGCATGGGATATCCACCACATACATAGGTTTAGTGGCTAGATGGTGTTAACATTGCATAAGAGCAAATACTTCTAAATTCTTTAAAGAACTGTGTTCAACCACCCTGAGAATTTCTCATTGGCTGCTCTTCTCTAGAGCCTCAAAACTCCTCTCAGAATATGCAACCTGACTCCTCATCCTCTCCTTTCTGCTCACATGTCTCCACCCCAGAATCCTGTCTATTCCACACATACAACATATTAGAGATCCATTTTTCCTGTTCCCTTTTGGACCGTGTCCTCAAGGACTTACCTCTACCACCCAAAGCGGCCTAGTGTTTATTAGTGGTCATTTTCTAAATAAGAACATTTCCTCCTTAAATAAGAACATTCCTTCCTTAAGGGGAACACTGATAACAGGTGTTAAAGCAATCATTTCTTTCCATTTTTTGATTGGAAGAAGGTACAGCTCAGTCAGGTTGCACACCACAGCTTCCCCTCCCGTACTCATGGCACACACCTCTCATCCATTTTCTTCCTGATCCGTGTTTTTCAAATGAACACAGCCATAAACTTTTAGTGTCTTCATATGAAAGCAGAGGAAGCTTAGAACTTGGTGCTTTCTCTTCTTATCTCTCCCAGTTTCAAATACTTTTATCTCTTAATAGCTAGCGCTCTTTAGATCTACAGTTGGGCTCAATGCATTCGAGCTCAATACAACCTTCTTTGTAGTTTTAGCCTTCTTCCAGAAAATCAGCTTAGTCTGCCCCCATAGCCACTCTGTTTCCTGACAACGTCACTCTCCCTGGCATACAGAGAATCCTTGCCCTTCTTGTGCTTGTTATCCGTGGGGTTGGACTTCTTCCAGAAAATTCTATGTGTTTATAGAACTCTCACCATGTTTGTGGGAGCACAATTAGCATGAAAAGCTCTAATCCAGTTTTGGACTCTCCTGTGGAGTCTAAATGCAGCCTCAGAGTCCTTCTCAACACAGTCCCTCAGGCCGTATTTCCATCACAGTTGGCTTATGAGAGGAGATCTTTTTGCCATCCCTGGGCTAGATAATCCACAAAATTCTCTGGAGTTCTTTAGTACACGAAGCCCAAACCTCGTAGATTCCTGGACTCTTTCTTGTCCACTGACAGAACCAACAGGGCTATTGCCTGCTCCTCATCTTCCTTTCTGGTCTTTTCTGGCCAGGCTTTCTATCTTCCTCTAGTCTAGAGTAGAAGTTCTGAATCTGTGTCCCTTGGGAAGGGACTGGTATGTAGATAGATAAGCTGAAGGGGTCCAAACAACAAAGAGACTGTAAGAAAAGAAACGTGGAGATACCCTGAACAAACACAGCAGTCTGGGGCCAGCAGTGAAGGGACAGAAGAGCCTGGGCCTCAGCCACTGTGACCATCACCAAATTTACCTTTATTATAAGATTGTGTTTGTAATGGTGACTTTGTATCATCAAAAAAAAAAAAAAAAGTTAAATTACTTTCCATTTAACGAGTAAATGTTATTTACATTGAATGATCTTAAGAATTGGCATGTGTAGGAGTGCTGTACTCCCAAGGCCCAGCTCAATGAGTTTGCCCTTTGAATACTGGAGATTTTAGTCTAGCTGTAGCTGCAGGTATTTTCCAAGCAAGAGGTGGTATTGTGCTATAATTTATTTATCTTAAAAGGTCTTATTGAGATATATAGATCCTTGGGTGGCATCAATGGCTTACTCTCAGCCACTAGTAAGAAAGCGGGCTGTTTGAATCCACCCAGCAGTGCCATGAAACAAAGTTCTGACGGTCTGTTTCTGTAATGATTACAGCCAAGGAAGCCCTGGGGAGGCAGTTGTACTCTGAACACATGAGAGCTCTGTGAGTCAGAGGTGACTCAACAGCAATGCTCCAGTTTTTGTGGTTTTTTCATTGAGATAGAATTCACATATTACCCAACTCAACCATTTAAAGTTTATAATTCCATGCCTTTTAGTATAATCATAGATATGTATAACCATCACCACAGTCAATTTTGTAACATTTTCATCACCTCAAAAAGAAACCCCATACTCATTAGCTATTGTTCTTCCATCCTTTGACTCCCCCATCTCCTACCCCTAACCAACCACTAATCTACTTTTGTCTCCATAGATTTCCCTATTCTGGACTTTTCATATAAATGAACTCATACATGTGGTCTTTTATGACTGGCTTCTTTCACTTACTATGATGTTTTCAAGGCTCGTCCACATGGTAGCACGTATCAGTACTTCATTCTGTTTCGTGTCTGAATAATATCCCATTTTGTGTACATATTTCATTGTGTTTATCCATTCGTCTGTTAGTGAACAATTGGGTTGTTTCCATCTTTAGCAGTTATAAATAATGCTGCTATAAGCATTCATTTACAAGTTTCTGTGTGGATATATGTTTCATTTGCTATGAATTATTTTTCAAAGCTATTCATTACCAAAACAATACATATTCATGATGGACAAATTATAAAATAGATATTAAGAAAAGAATCAAATAAGAATAATCTATCTCAATAAGCCAAAAGTAACTCTGTTGGCATTTCCTCCTAGGCCTTTTCAATTAAAAAAAAACAAAAACCTGTCGCCATTGAGTCAATTGCAACTCATAGTGACCATATAGGACAGAGTAGGACTGCCCCTCAAAGAATTTCCAAGGCTGTAATCTTTATGGAACCAGACTGCCACATCTTTCTCCTGTGGAACAGATGGAGGGTTCGAACTGAGCCACCAGGGATCCTTTTTCAGTAATAAAGAGTACCATTAAATTGAGTGCATGCAATGAGTCAAGCTCTGTATCGAGCACTCTAATTACATATCTCTGTAATCCTCAGATCAACTTTGGGAATTAGTTACCATCAGTATTGCCCTCAGAAAAGGAAGCAGAGGATCAGAGAGGTTAAGTACATGCCTGAGAACACACAGCTAAAAAATGGCAGCACCAGGACTTGAACCTCAGTCTCTCTAGCCCCAAAGCCTGTAACCCAGGGACATACATACTGTCTCTCGTTCCACTCACAGTCCCTTTCGGCAGATTGGCATATGAGGAATGGCAGCTGACATTTTCAGCAGAGATTGTTGCTCTTGTGCAAAGATAGTCCAGTGATGGTGGTAAAAGTAGGTATAGTCAGCGGGTGCCTGTGAGGTACCTCACAGTGTCAGTAATTTACAGAAGTCACCTCTGTTAAACCTCAGGACAAAACCACTTTACAGATAAGAAAACCAATTAAGGAAATAGGGTTAGTGGTTTCCCCAGGCCTCAAGGCACTCTCAGCTTGGATGCCCAGAACTTGTAATCAAAAATAAAACAAACCCCTTCCTGTTATTGTCTAAGCCTTAATCCCTGGTAGGGGCCATGCTGGGGCTGGGACTCATCTGAGACCACCTGTTCCAATCCTGCAGGTACACCTCCACCCTCTCCCTGCCTCGCCTGAAACCCTCTGAAGCTGGTCACTATTCCTTTCTGGCCAGAAATGTGGGAGGCTGGAAATCTCTGACCTTCGAGCTGACCATTCGATGTGAGTGATGGGATGGAGCTGGGGGCATGGATTCTTGGGGCCACCTAGAGAAATGGGCTTCACTAGGGGAGAGGGTATAGGAGGGGCTGGGATGAGAAGGCTCAGTGGGGGACAGTGGAGTGAGACTTGGGCCCTCTGGTCTGACCCTTCCTCTTCTGTCTTTTTTTTCCTCCTCAGACCCTCCAGAGGTAAAGGTGACATGGACCCTCATCAATGGCTCTGATGCTCTGCTCTGTGATGTCACTGGGTACCCACAGCCCAACGTGACATGGCTGCAGTGCCAGGGCCACACTGATAGGTAAGTGAGCTTGGCCCACCTTCCCCACCTGTCCTGAGAGGCTGGAGCAGGGCTGGGCCCCCCATCCGTGGGAGGGGCACTCTAGGAGTCCTGCCCTCAGTGTTGGACATGCCACAACTCTGAGCCACATTTTGCCTGTTCCAGGTGTAATGGGGCTCAGGAACTGGTGTTAGAGGATCCATACCCTGAGGTTCTGAGCCAGGAACCCTTCCACAAGGTGACTATCCGGAGCCTGCTGACCATTGGAGCCCTGGGACACAACACCACCTATGAGTGCAGGGCCCAGAACTGGGCAGGGAATGCCTCCCACTCCTTCTGGCCCATCTCTGTTGGTGAGTCTCTCCTCCTGATCTTCTCCATGCTAGGGTGGGAGGGGGCCCAGTAAACTGCCCCTACCCCCAGGTGGAGCCAGGGCCAGAAGTCCAGTTGGAGCAGATCCTAGCAATGCTGAATTCCACCTCTCTGAGCCCAATTTCAGGCACCTCTTGCCCATCAGGTCTCCTGAGGCAGTGAGATGGGGACATCTAGAATCTTGTGGGCTGTACTGTGGGGGAGACCAGCAGAAGGGAGCAGACACAGGTTCAGAGAGAAGGAAGCCTGAAGCAAGTGCAGTTTAACTTATATACCTCCACTCATATTTCCTGCACCTTCATTAAATCCTTCAAAATGTATACTTGGCCTCCACTGTGCACCAGGCACTTGCTCAAGGCAGGGATCCTGTGTCTCCATAGAGCTTGACGTCTTATCAGGGATATGGGCAATGAGCAAGTAAACCCGGGCCCCACCTCCCATCCAGGGCCAGCCCTTGGAGATGCCCTCCATCTCCCCATGCCCCTCCTGCCCTGAGGCACAGTCCCATTCATTCAGGGTCACTACTTACGAGGTCACATGGGCTGCTGGCCAGGCTGTGTCTGCCCAGAGGAAGGGGTGCCTTTTACTGATTTACAGAAAGCTTCCAGATGGGTTAGTTCTCTGATTCTGAGAGGTCACAGCTGCAGAGAACTGCAGCACCTTCAGGTCTTTTAATAACCACTTTTCAGCATCCACTAGGTGCCAGACCTCAGTGAGGCTCTCTGGGCCCACAGAGGATGGAGAAGATCACTGGCCTCAGCCTAGCTCGGATGTGATCACTCATGGACCCTAGCTGCTGGTCTTGGAGTGCCTATGGCCAGGGCCCGACCCTGCCCCCCTCTGGCTGTGGCTGCTTCCAGTCTCGCTGCTTCTGACTGTGTTAGAATAATAAAGCCAGCCTTCCACTGATGCTTGCACAGGGCCAGGCATTATGCATTCTCTCAATTAGCTCTCACAGCCCTAGGAAAGAAATCTAATTTTCCTTTCCATTTTGGGAAGCCTGAAGCTTATGAAGAAGTCACAGACTCAATGTCAAACACCCCCTGCCATATATTCCTACTGCTGCTGTAACAGAAATACCACAAGTGGGTAGTTTTAAAGAGCGTAAATTTATTTTCTCATGGTTTAAGGGAGTAGACATCCAAATCCAGGCACCAGCTCCAGGGAGGCCCTCTCACTGTTGGCTCTGGAGGAAGATCCCTTTCAGTTTCCATAGACTCAGCCTCCTTGATTCCCAGGTGATCTCCATGTGGCATGCATCCTCCCCTCTTTGCTTACTTCTCTGTGTCTAACCTGCTCTCTTTATATCTCAAAAATGAGTAGGTTTAAAACACACCCTACAGTGGACAGGCTGAACTATTAGGTGTGTCTATGAAGCAGGGAGTGTACCCAAGACCATATATAGGGTTGGCAGACAATGGTCCTATAAATGTATTTGTATGATCTGAATTCCCAGGTGTATGGGAGCTCTGGTAGCATAGTGGCTAAGACACTTGCCTGCTAACCAGACGGCTGGCGGTTCAAACCCACCAGCCACTCCTCGGAAGGAAGGTTGGGCAATCCTACTTCCATAGTGATACTGCCTCGGAAACCCAAGGAGGGGTCGCTATGAGTCGGGGACGACTCCACGGCATATAACAACAACAACAACAACAATAGTAGAGCTGACAAGGGACAAAATTGTAGTCACTTCTTGGTCACAGCCAGCTACCCAGAGGGACCGAGTAGTTGAACCTGTGAGCTCGGGACTGTAGTCTCAGGGGACATCAAGCTCAATTGGCATGACCTACTACACAAAACATTGTTCCACCTCCTACTTTGGCAAGTAGCGACTGGGATCTTAAAAGCTTGCAAGCTGCCATCTAGATGCAACAATGGGTCTCTCCTCGTCCAGAGCAAAGAAGAATGAAGAAAACCAAAATTCATGGAAACAATTAGTCCTAGTGACTGGTACACCATGCGATCTGCAGCCTATATGACTATGAGACCAGAAGAACTAGATGGTGCCCGGCTACTACTGTCAACCACTTGGAAGGGGATCTATGTAGGAGATCCTGGATAGAGAGGGAGAACAATGTGGAACAAAACTCAAAATCATTTGGGAAAAAAAAGGGGGACCAGATTTGCTGATCTGATAGAGCCTGGTGGAACCACTGAAACTATGGCCCCTAGCTGCCTTTCAGGTCTGTAATTGAACACACACCTGTGGCTTCCAGCCAAGCAAAAGACAGGCATAGGAGTTGAACATTTACCTGAGGTAGATACACTCTTTGGAGAGAACAATCATGGGAGAAAGAAGGGCTGTTTATGCGCAGGGAGACAGCTCAGAGGGCAGGAGTGCATGAAGGGATAGACACAGGGAACAGGTGACTGTGGGGAGGAAGTGGGAGGCGAGCTGCTGTATTGCGGTGAATTGTAGTCAATGTCATGAGACAAAGTGTATGTGCACTGCTGTATGGAAAGTGAATTTACTCTGTAAATTTTTGCCCAAATCATAATGAATAAATAAATAACACACCCTACACTGATAAGGCCTCATTAACATAACAAAGAAAATCCTACTCCCTAGTGGGGTCACATCCACAGATATGGAGGTTAGGGTTCCAAAATATGCTTTAGAGGGACACAATTCAATCCATAATACTCCTAAATGGCAGCGGTGAGATGTGACCTCTGACCCAAGCTTTTGACCTGGTTTTGTGTGTCAGTGCTAACTCATAGTGACCCTATAGAACAAAGTAGAACTTCCCCATAGGGCTTCTTATGTTGTAATTGTGATTTACGAGAGCAGATTACCAGGTCTTTTCTTCCGAGAAGCAGCTGGTGGGTTCTAACTGCTGACTTTTCTCTTCGCAGCTGAGTACTTAACTCCTTCTTGACCTGGGTAAACCAAAAAACCCAAACCCACTGTCACCGAGTCGATTCTGACTCAGAGCAGCCCCTATTGGGTTTCCAAGGCAGTAAATCTTTATGGAAGTAGATTGCCCCATCTTCCTTCTATGGAGCTGCTGGCAGGTTTGAACCACCAACCTTTTGATTAGCAGTCAAGTGCCTTAGGCACTATGCTACCAGAGCTCCTTTGACCTGGGTAAGGGGATGAAAATTGTGTCTTTTACACTACGTCTAGAGAGCTAAGGATATGATCCAAGGAAGAGGAGACCCAAGGGTCATGAACCCCACTTTTAGATCCGTGAAGGGCCATGTGGTCCCATAGGGCACATGAGGAAGCTGCAGGGAAAACACTGGGAAGGCAGTTGTCAGTCCACCTTCTAGGAGGCTTTCTGACCAAGCTGCCCAGAGTTGTAGGAGGTGAGGAGTGCCCACCCCCTGGGCATCCCTCTCTCACAGGGACAAGCTGCTGCAGAGGGGTTCCTTGTACTGGCAGAGGTGGGACTGCATTACCTCAGCCACAGGAGGCAGAGCTGTTTGGGGTTGGAGATGAGAGAGGTGGAAGGCCAGTCCTCCCTGCCAATGTCTGGGGAGGGTCTGCGGGAGAGGCTCAAGGCGCTTCCTGGTAACAGGACAAATTCATTCAGTCAACAAGTGTTACTGAGCACCTACTGCATTCCGGGCAGTGCACCGACCTGATCTCAATGTGGGGAGAGGGGGTAGAGGTCTCCTTGCCTGCTCACTGCTCTGCTCTGTCCCTTCTAGAAAACAGTAGACAGCCCCTTGAGGAGCCCCTCTTCACGCCAGTGCTGGTCGCCTGCATGTCCATCATGGCCTTGCTGCTCCTGCTACTATTGCTGCTTCTGTACAAGTACAAACAGGTGAGCCAGATGGCCTGAATGGGCTGAAGTGGGGATGGGCCTGCACCCTGTGAACCAAATCCAGGATGGCACCACCATGATGTGCAGACCCACTGACTCTCACTCTATCAACCAGCCATTCAGCCAATAGCTCTCCAGTAACCACCTATTGTAAGGAACTCTGGTGGTGCAGAGCCTAAGGCATTTGACTGTTAACCAGAAGGTCGGTGGCTCAAACCCACCAGCCACTCTGTGGAAGGAAGATAGGGTGATCTACTTCTGGAAAGATTTACCACCTTGGAAACCCAAAGGGGGTCACTATGAATTGGAATTGACTCAATGGCAGTGAGTTTGGTTTTTTTTGAGTGCCTGTTGCATGCCAGGGAGCTCTGGTGGTATAGTGCCTAACACACTTGACTGCTAACCAGAAGGCTGGAGGTACAAACCCACCACCCACTCCTCGGAAGGAAGATTGGGCAATCTACTTCCATAGAGATACCATCTCAGAAACCCAAGGAGAGGTCACTATGAGTCAAATCGAATTGACTTGATGGCAGTGAGTTCGGGTTTTATTTTTATGGTAATTCAAAACACAATGGCCACTGAGGGGTTTACTGTCCAGTGGAGGGAACAGTCACTCATCAAAAACTATGTGAGTGAGGGCACAGATTACAGAGAAAGAGATGTTATGAGGAGAGGAATGGGAGAGGGAAAACATGGGGTTCTGTCCCAGAGGGCTCCCAGGCACCCAGTGCAGACCAGGTGGGGCTGCACACACAGGTAGGACATCACAGGGCCAGGCCTGTGTCTCATCTCCAGTAGTGAGTAATCTAGTGGAGGAGGTAGAATTAGTTAATATTATTAATCAAAGCTGCCATTTATTGCACATTTGATGTGCAGTCTGCTGTTTTGAGGGCTCAATAAGTGATAACATATTTAGGGGTATTTTTACAGCATTTGTCACCTACATCATCTCATGTAGTGGCCTCAACAAGCATGTGATATAGACAGTGTTATTAACCCCATTTGACAGGGTAGGAAGTTGAGGTCCCCAGAAGTTGTATAACTAACTCTAGGTCCAACCCTGAGGGACTGACTCCAAAGCCATACTTTTTGCCATTATGTGAAACGTCTTCCCTATGAATCATCTCATTGTACCCTCACAGCTACCCAGAGGCTGGGGCTACAATAGTCCACATTTTACAATTAGGAGACTGAGACTCAGTAAGGTTGAAGAACCTGCCCAGAGGAGTGAGGGGTATTGTGGGAACTGCCTCCCACTCAGTACCCAAGGTCTCAATCACAGTTAAGGGCCAGTGGCATCAGCTGCTGAGAAAGGCCAGGCTTAGAGGGCTGTGGGAGGTCAAGACAAAAGTAGGACTAGGGATACTGGACAGAGAAGAGAACATTGGTGGGGTTTCCTTGAAGGATGGAAGGTATGCAGGAGGGGAAGTGAGGCATTGGGAAAGGGTATCTTTGGGGGAGAAGGCCATGTGTACAAAGGGGCAGGCAAGGGCAAGACCCGGGAAAGTTCCAGAAATGTTAGTGTCTGGAAAAGGAGGCAGAAGGAGATAGGGCCAGGTTGGGAGTACGATGGGTGGGACCACATTCTATAAGTCCAGGGCCATCCATAGGTTTGAACAAGAAGTGATGTTATTTCAGGGTGAATAACCCACATTGTGAAAGAGCTCTGGTGGCATAGTGGGTAAGGGATTAGTGTGGCTGCTAACCAGAAGGTTGGCAGTTCAAACCAACAAGCTGCTCTGAGGGAGGAAGATGATGTGATCTACTTCTGTAAAGATTTATAGCCTTGGAAACCCAATGAGGGTTAGTATGAGTCAGAATTGACTCGATGGCAGTGAGTTTGGGTTTGTTTTTTTTTTGTAACCCACATTGTAGGGTCCTTTGCTGCCCTTTATTCCCCACACCTGCCTAGGGGGTTTTACTGGGGGAAGAGGATTTGGAGTAGAATTGTGGGCAATACTGTGAAGGCTCCATGGGGTTGGGCTCTCTACACTTATGCCAGCAACCAGCAGGAAGAGACAGCTCCAAGCATATCCCCCAAGAAAACAGAACCCAAGTCAGGACTTCCAGCTCTGACACTGTTTTGCCATGTGACCTTGTTGAGTCACTGTCCTCTCTGGGCTTCAGTTTGCCCATGTGTACAATGGAAATGGGTGAACCTTAACAGCTCATCCTCCTCTGACATTTTAAGAGGCTACTGGTGGTGTAGCTTAAGAGCCAGGGGTTGGGAGTTAGATAGATCCAGGTCCAAATTCTGCTTCTGCCAGTTTCAGGCTAAGTGATCTTGGGAAAATTGGCATCTATAAGACTCTGTTTCTCCATCTGTAAAATGAGGTTTTAATGGCAGTCACCCCACCAGGCTGTTATGATGATTCAATGACAAAACATGTGTAGAGGACTTAGCATGGTGCTGGAAACAGACAGTACTCAGTAGCGGATGCTGCACACCCCCATCCCAGAAAGGAAGTGGGCTGACGAACAAAAGTTAGCTCATACATCTTGGTATTAAAGGGATCTCTGAGGTTGGGCATCTCCTTGACCACAGACTCAAAGTGTTCACCCACCTCCAGAGACTGGACCTCGCTCATTGTGGCCACCTGTTCCTTCTTTGAGTAGCTCTGACTATTGGAAAGTTCTTCCTTATATGGAGCTGAAAATGGCCCAGCCACAGAGCAGAGATTCCAGAGAATAGCCGGGCCCCCCTGGGCTCTTTCTTCCCTGGTCTGAACAGCTCCCCTTGGTCATGCTTTACAGATACCTTCCCTTCTCTCCATGGGAACATTTTTGGAACAAAAATTTCCAATCACCTCCTCATTTCCTACCTGTAAATCCAACTGCTTCTGAGCCACCTCCAGGCCAGAGAAGGAGAATATGCCATGGGACAAGACCTTGAAGGGTCAAGATGGCCATTCCCCTGCCACAGTGCCTGCCATTCAATCCTCTTGCTTTGCCCCATAGGGTTCTGAGCCTTGGCCCTTTACTGGAGACTCGGCCTGGCCAGTCCTCACTGCCCAGGCCTGGATGGAGGGTGCTCTAGGCCTTGTACTCCCTGGACATGGGAGGGTTATTTCTGCCTCAGGGCTGAGTCATCGCATTTCTGGCCCCCAGGGAGACCACAAGGGGAGCCAAGGAGGAAGAGAAAAGGGCAGGAGTCAGCAGGCTGGGAGGAGGGGCACGGAGAAGACAGGGGAACGGGGAAAGGGATGGAGGATCACTTGAGAGGCCGAGATTCTGGGGCTAGAGCTGAGTTCTGAGGGTAGGAGAGCATTGGAGATGGACAGGGTGGTGGTCCCCTGAAACCTCTAGTGGGAGTTGTTCAAGTCTCCACCTTCCCACTACAGAGAACTCCTACCCACCTAGAACCAGAAGGCCCAGGTGGGAAGGGGGTCTTTGATGACTACATTCCACCTCAGTCCCTGCAGGGGGAGTAGGAGGGAATGGAGCTAGTCCTATTGTGAGGAGTATAGGAGATGACATATGTTGAGTGTCTAGCAAGTGCCCTGCTCACAGGAAGTGCTCATAGAGCTGCTATCCTTATGTTTACTACTACATTATTTAATCTGGCTTGGGGCACCCCATCTAGACCTCTCTCTAATGGTTCTCCTGGGGAGGGGGTGCCCTCCTGGGTAGAAGCCCTGGGAGCCACACATGAACTCAGCCTGCAGGAGCCCTTTCCAGAGATAGCCCAGGCCAGTCTGGGGACTAAGCATCCAGCCCTGGTGGTGGACAAGCACAGCAGAGGAAGGGAGGTGGGGAGACCGGAGACAGGAGGGCGAGGGCTCAGTCCTCCTCCAGGTACAGGAGTCTAGGATCTTGAGAACTGAGATTCCAGACAAACAACCTCTTCCTCCTTTGATTCTCCTTCCCAACATCCCCTGCCCGGATGGAGGTGGGAAGGGGCTGACTCAGGCCCAGCTGCAGAGGTTACAGAGAAAGGAGAAGTGGTAAGGAGAGAAAACAACCTCAGCCAGAGGCTCCTAGAGATGGAAGTGGCCAGCAGAGGTCAAAGATGCCCCCTTTTCATGCTCTGTCTCTCAGGTTGGAAAGGCACCCACCTTTCCAACCCTCCAAGGGCTGGAGTCCTTGAGACTCTGAAGTTCTTTTTTAGATCCTATTACAGACTATGCTCCTAAGACATAACAGATGTTCTTAAATTTACCTGCAGGTTTCCCTTCTAATGAGAACTTGGAAGTTCTTCCTTATGTCTAACTGTAGTTTTCTCTCCCAAACTACCCTCTGGAGTCTTTGCTTCTAATCAGCATAAGGCTTGCAGCCTCAAGCCACCTCACCACCCCAACATCCATTCATACACCTTTAGCTTCCCTGGAGCTGGGGGTGCCCAGGGAGGAGCCCAGCTCCAAGCATAAGCCAGCTGGGCTCTGCCCTCAAGGCCTGACCAGAAAACAAGTTGATCTGCTGACTCAAGGCCTCAGTGTCCTTCACTGCCCCATCCAAGCTTCCACTTTCCCCCTAAACTCAATCTTCCATCAGCACTTCTCATGGGCACTGCTGGCAGAATGTCCCCTATGCAGCTGACACCGACTGGAGTGGCAAAAGAGAGAGACAGGCCCTCTGCTTCCCAGATCTGGGCCCTGCCTTGCTGGCTACACGTAAAACCTGACAAGGAATTCCAGTCTTTCCAAAGGTCCAATAAGCATCCTCCAAATGCTTATTGTCCAGTGGGATAGTCTCCCTTTCTCTCTCCCTCACTAGTTTCAATACATAAAGTTACATCATGTTACTCTAGACCCTCAAGGGCTTCTCACTGCAGCTAGAATAGAATCTACACACATCATGGCCGTCAAGCCCCTCCTGCCCATCCACGTTCTACCCCATCTCTCAGGCCATACTGGCCACCTTCCTGTCCCTCCAACTTGCCAGGATCTGCCTACCTTCACATTTGCTGTTCATGGTGCTTGGAAAATTCTCCCTCCTGATTACTATGTGGCTGGCTCCTCCTCCTCGTTCAGGTCTCAACTCAAAGGTCACTCACTTCCACAGAGGCCTTCCCTGACTTATCCTAAATTGTACTCACCCCATCAGTTTCTCTCTCAAAAAAAAAAAAAGTCTCTGAGTTGATTGAATCCAATTCATGGCGACCCCGTGTGTGTCAAGTAGAACTGTCCACAGGGTTTTCAGCGGCTGTAACCTTACGCAGAAGGAGCCTTTGTGGTGCTGCTGGAACCACAAAGTCCTTATCACCTATCACATAGGGCCAATTATCACAGTAAGTTGAAGCAGGAAAGCAAAAGAATTATTAAGTATCGATACCCAAGGAGACAGAGAGCATTGTTTCTCTGAAAAGTCTGTCTTCCTGAGCTGAGAAAAAGTTAGGGTTTTTAAAGAGAATTTGGTTCAGGGGTGGGGGGCTTGAAGAATGCTGACAATGTCATCGTCTTGTTATCAGGATGAGTCACCTCTTCCTGTGAACTTTTTGTCACAGTGGTCAGTGATGTAGAGCCTGCCTTAGTCAGAATTGTTTTGTAAACTCTTTGTACTTGTCCGGGAAGATTAACTCTAGAGAGGGGAAAAGTGTGGGAGTCAGGACACTCAGGCCTCTTGGCTGGGGATGTCCCTGTTTTTTCCTTATCTTGGTTGCTTGGTGTCTCTTTTCTCAGGGCATCCTGCTCCATAAACCGCAGTTACCAGCTAAAAATGGGCAGTGGGTTTACATCACATGCTCAAAGGGATGTGTAAGCAGAGAAAACAGCCTAGAGTGACTAATCTATTGACACAGAAGGAGGGATAGGGAAAAGAAAGATTAAAAAATTAGCCATCATGGTTAATGTCTACCCTCATCATAGCTGTTCATTTGTTATACTTCTGGAATTTCTCAGCAAGATGGTTTCCCTAGCCCTTCAACAGTGTACTGCTTAAGGCATTTGGCTACTAACCAGAGGGTCGGCAGTTCAAACCCACCAGCCGCTCCACAGAAGAAAAATGAGGTAGTCTGCTTTCATGAAGATTTACAGCTGTGGACACCCAGTGGGGGTCATTAGAAGTCTAAATGGACTCAATGGCAGTGAGTTTGGTTTGGTTTTTGGAATGTTATGGAGAGGTCCCTGGATGGTGCAACTTGTTTGCACTCAACTAGCAACCTAAGGCTGGCAGTTTGAACCCACCCAGCAGTACTGTGGAAGAAAGGCCTGGAAATCTGCTTCTGTTAAGATTACATCCAAGAAAACTCTATAGAGCAGTTCTGTAATACCTGGGGTCACCAGGCTACAGGTCTGGCTTTTGATTTAATCTTTTCTTCTTCTTTTTTTAAAAATTTTTATTGTAATTGGGGTGGAAGTTTACAGAGCAAATTTAGTTTCCATACAGCAGTTCATACATGTTTTCTCTCATGACATTGACTGCAATTCCCCACAATGTAACAGCTCTCTTCCCACTTCCTCCCTATAGTTACCTCTTTCCTGTGTCCATCTGTAATACGCATTCCTGCTCCCTGAGCTATCTCCCTGTACAAATATTGCCCTTCTCTTCTCCCATGATTGATTGCTCTAAGGAGTATATCTACCTGATATAAATGTTCACCCTATATGCCTGTCTATTGTTTGGCTGGAAGTCATGGGAGTGAGTTCAATTTCAGACCTGAAGGGTAACTAGGGGCTATAGTCTAAGGGGTCTCACCAGATTCTATCAGACCAGTAAACCTGGTCTCTCTTTTTTTTTTTTTTTTTTATGATTTTTGAGTTTTGTTCCACATCATTCTCCCATTCTATCCAGGATCTCCTGCACTGATCCCCTTTGAGTGGTTGACAGTGGTAGCCGGGCACCATCTAGTTCTTCTGGTCTCATTGTCATATAGGCTGAGGTCTGCATGCTCCGCTAGTCCCTTGGACTAACTGTGCCCATGCATCTTTGCTTTTCTTCATTCTTCTTTGCTCTGGATGAGGAGAGACCCTTTGTTGCATCTAGATGGCTGCTTGCAAGCTTTTAAGACCCCAGTCTCTGTTTACCAAAGGAGGCTGTAGAACAATAATTTTGTGTAGTATGTTATGTCAATTAAGCTTAATGTCCCCTGTGACCATAGTCCCAAGCCCACAGGTCCAACTACTCACTCCCTCAGGGTGGTTGGCTGTGGCTAAGAAGGTATTATAATTCTGCCCCTTGTTAGCTCTATTGTATTTATTATTTAATCTTATGGAAGCAGAGCTCCAGGTCTTTCTTTCCTCCACAGTGCCACTGGGTAGATTCAAACTATCAACCATATGGTTAATAGCCAGGTGTAAATCATTTGTGCCACTCTGGGACCTTCTATCCCATTACTCTGCTTAATTTTCTTCACAGCACTATTTGAAAAATCCCTATATATGTATTCATTTGAGGTTAATGCCTGTCTCACCTATTAGAATGCAAACTTTATGAGGGATGTACTTTGTCTTCAACTTTGAATCAACAATGCCTGACACAAGTGCTCAGTGAATGAAGGGATGGGAGGAAGGATGGAAAGATGTTTAGATGGATGGATAGACCTCAAATTCCACCCTCTCTCCTGGCTCAGAAATGTCAGGCCCCTCAGAGGTTATCTGGCACAATGCCATCAATACACAGGTAGGGAAACTGAAGCTCAGAGAAGGGAAGGTCACATGGTAAGGCAGAGTCAGAGATGGGACTAGACCCTCAGTGAAGTGTTCATGAGATGACTTGATGCCTTTCACCATATCAGGCTACCCCTAGCCTTCAGCCCAGTGCCATGGGACTGCCCACATACCCTGTTTTCAGGGGATGAGACCCCGGATCCTCTAGGCAGATCTGGCTGACATGTGCCTTCCTACCTCCCCCTACCTCTACCCCCACAGAAGCCCAAGTACCAGGTGCGCTGGAAGATCATTGAGAGCTATGAAGGCAACAGTTATACCTTCATTGACCCCATCCAGCTGCCCTACAATGAGAAGTGGGAGTTTCCCCGAAACAACTTGCAGTTTGGTGAGATGGCATCACATCATCTATGTACTCCCTGTCACAGGGCCAGGGAGGGGGGTGCAGGGAGCCTGTGGGCTCTTAGAGAGAAGGCCCTTTGGTGCCCAGGGACCTATGGAGCCTGTGTATTTGGTAGGTAAGACACTTGGAGCTGGTGCCTTTGGGAAGGTGGTAGAGGCCACGGCCTTTGGTCTGGGCAAGGAAGATGCTGTCCTGAAGGTGGCTGTGAAGATGCTGAAATGTGAGTCAGGGGAAGGAGCTTGGGAAGTATTGGGGAGAGGGTGGAAGGTGGGCATGACTTGTCATTGTAAGAGGCATCACCCCAATTTTCTGCCTGTCCAGAGCCTGGGGGACAGAACCCAGGGTTGGAGGTGAGGACTCTTGGCTTCTCTCATGAGCTCCAGGCTCCCCTGACTCTTGGCTCTGAGGAGGCCTGGGTCAACCTTTCGATGTGGAGGGGGTTCTGGCTGAGCCCCAAAGAGGACGAGGCACACACAGGCCACTTAGGGCCATGGCCTGGCCACACTTGGCATCTTGATACCTCAAGGTGACACAGGCCCCTCTCTCTAACTCCCAAACGTGTGTCCATTCCTTCTCCCCTTTTTGGCCTCTGAATCCTTCTGGGTCTCCCCTGCTTCCTCCCTCCAGTCTCTGCATTTAGGTCTGCTATCTCTCTTTGTGGCTCTCTGTGATTTTCCCGCTCCTCATTCGTGGGATTTGTGGTCTTATCACTCAGCCACAGCTCATGCAGATGAGAAGGAGGCCCTCATGTCAGAACTGAAGATCATGAGTCACCTGGGTCAGCACGAGAACATCGTTAACCTTCTGGGAGCTTGCACACATGGAGGTGAGAGGCCTTGGCAGGAATAAGAGGCCCATGGCCTTGGTCCTCTTAGAGTGTATGAGAACCCCAGGGCCATCTCATTCCATCTTACCCTTCCCATCTCCTCCAAGTACCCTGCCTTAACTTCCCTTAAATTCTTAGGCTAGACTCCCCAAGTAGTCAGAAGCTACTTTTGGGGACAGACAGTTCTGTGGAGCTCTAACCAGTGGTTCTCAGACATCAGCATCAAAATCGCCTGCACAGGGAGATGAAAGTACAGATTCCTGGGCTCTGCCACCAAGAGTCTGATTCCGTGGGTCTGGAGTAAATCCTCCCAATCTGCTTTCAAGAAGCCCCCACCAAAAGATGTTTGGACGCTCACTCACCTCCAGTTGAGGTGCCCCAGGTCTTGTTGGGTCTCCAAACCCACCCCATCTTCTTCACCTGCAACAGCTTTGCTTTTATTTGGCCTGTATCACACCACCATAGATTTCCTTTGAAAGGAATTCTTTGGCTAAAACAAATTGTGAAGTTCTGCTTTAGATAGATGGGGTGACTGAGGCAAAGGGAGTAGAGAAACCTGCTAACAGAGAGCCAGGATTAGACCACAGGTCTCCTGAGTCCCAGTCCAGGATGCCTCATTACCGCCAGCCTTGTGTTCTTGTGCACATGGCGTGGTTGCGGAGTGGGGACAGGTGGTGCACTCACACTCCACCCCTACCCCACCTTTTTGGCTGCTCTAGGCCCTGTCTTGGTCATCACTGAATACTGTTGCTATGGAGACCTGCTCAACTTTCTGCGACAGAAAGCCGAGGCCATGCTGGGACCCAGCTCGAGTCCTGGCCAGGACCCTGACGGGATCACTGGCTACAAGAACATCCACCTGGAGAAGAAATACGTCCGCAGGTATTGCCTGGAAGAGGGCAGGACTGGGAGGTGGAGTAAGTGGGTCTGTCTCCAAAGCTAGCTCAGGTTTGGGTGGGGCATGGCACTCATACTCTTGTTTGTAGCCACCCCAGGTTATATTGACAACTCAACATTTCTATTTATTTCCATCATTCATCAAATATTTGAGCACCAGCTATGTGCGGGAGTTTGGAGGGCAAAGATGGGCAGCTCATGGCTTGGTGGTGGTTGTTATGTACTGTTGAATATATAGTGACCCTGTTGACAGAGTGGCATGTATAGTTTCCTACTTTGTAATCTTTATGGGAGCAGACCATCAAGTCATTTCTCCCATGGAGTGGTTGGTGGGTTCAAACGGATGACCTTTCAGTTAGCAGCTGAGCACTTAACCACTGCACTATCACCTTGCTATCTGTAACAGATCAGAGCTTCAGGTCATGGGACTAAGCACCCCATCACTCCCATGGTGGTTTAAGGACTGCAGGGCACCCATTCCACTGAGAAGTAGTCAATATCACTGTCTTGCCACAAAGAAGTGGAGCAAAGTCTGAGGCCTTGTTGGTTGAGAGGGTATGAAGTGTCAGGATTGGCTGCATGACTGTGGCCAAGTCACCATCCCTCCTGGGCCTCAGTTTCCCTAGGCAAGCCATCAGGGGGTTGAGATGGTCTCTCAGGGCCTTTCTGGCTTTGCCATTCCATAATGCTATGATTCCTGGAAACCACCCAGAGGCAATGGATGGAGCCACATGGGGAAGCAGAGTGGGAAGTGGCAAGTTTTGTGTTACACATGAGTCAGGGTGGAGGCAGAGATGGTCTAGCTCCTGGTCCAGGACTCACCTACCTGAGCCACACAGATCTCAGAAAAAAAAAGGATGAGGATGGTTGCACAACTTGAAGAATGTAATCAATGCCTCTAGAGGTCTTGGTATTGGGGGCTTGTGAAGGCCTCAGAGCCAGGCTGCTGAGGGCCGAGACCAGATCAGAATGGGCAGGGTTCCAAGCCAACAATCCTTATCTTGCCACTGTCGGCTGCCAAGCAGCCATTTCTCTCTATCCAGTATCCTCAAAAATGGGGATCCAACAGGCATTCTCCTTCTGACTCCCCTTTGTGAGGGCGGTTCACGTTGGGCCTCAGGCCAGATCAAATCAAAACAAGAACCAGAGAAAAATATTTGCTTCCATTATGGAATCTGCAAGTAGGGAAGAGTCAGGGGATGAGGTGATTTCAACGTCAAATGGCACGTGAACCATTCCTGCCAATAGGTTCCATGCTACATTAATAGAAGTATCATTTCTAGAACAAGGGAGGGGATAGTTTTGCCATGGTCAGACCATAAATAAAACACTGAGTTCTCTTTCTGGGAACATGAGAGTATGGACATTGTCAAGGAGTACATCTGTATAGCAGAGGGGATAGGAAGGTGAGCATTGCCCAGAAACATCTGGTTGGAATACTAGAATTAGTGGCTATTTAATCTAGAGCAATGCTTCTCAAACTCCCTTGCTACTCAAAGTGTGGGGGCATAGGCCTCACCTAGGAGTTCATAGAAATGTTGCCTCTCAGGCCTAGGTAGCCCTGCTGAATAAGAACCTGCATTGTAATGAGATCCTCAGGTTATTCATATGTATGTTGAGGACAGGAGCTCTGGTAGCATAGTGGCTAAAGCACTTGACTGCTAACCAGAAGGCTGGCGGTTCAAACCCACCAGCCACTCCTCGGAAGGAAGGTTGGGCAATCCTACTTCCGTAGTGATACTGCCTCAGAAACCCAAGGAGGGGTCGCTATGAGTCGGGGCCGACTCGATGGCACATAACAACAACAACAACATGTTGAGGACAGTTAAAGAAGCATTGCTCTAGACCAGTGGTCCAACCCAGGATGCACATGGGAATCACCTAGAGAGATTAACAAATGTGAATGACTAGGTTTTGCACTAGTCAATAGTCTGGTGTCCTGAGCATGGGGGTTGTTAAAAATTCCGCAGGTGTGGCCATCTAAGGCACAATTGGTCTCTATTCACCTGGAACAACAGAGGAAGGACAGTCAAGAACAGGATGATATGGGATATGTGGCTAATTGCCTTCATAAACAATTGCCTCCTTTGACATTAGACCAAAACTGGATGGTGCCCAGCTAACATGACTGAACATTTTGATCAAAGATTCTATGGAAGAATCCTGATCAAAAGGGGGAAAATGTAGAACAGAAGTTGGAATTCTCATGGACTTACTGGAGCCATGAATGTTGGATGAACCCCTGCAACTTACTGCCTTGAGATAATCATTAAACCTTAAAGCAAAAACATCCCCTGAAGTCTTCTTAAAACCAAACAATAGCTTAATTACTAAAAAAGGTCTGCCTTGAACAGTATGCTCTTTTAAGAATTATCTGTAAGAGATCAAATTGACAATAACAACTTGAAAGATTACATGGGACCCTTGTGGAGGAGTTTTTGGTAATGAGGGAGGAATAACTCAGAAAAGGATCTGAATAGTTGCACAATTTGAATATAAACAGTCATTAAATTGTACATGTAGAAACTTGGTGTATTTCTACTGTGTATATTCTCAACAAGAAGTTTCCCCAGGTGACTTCAATGTGAAATCAGGGCTAAGAACCCTGGTCTAGAGAAGACACTGCTCAAAGAGGGGGCCACAGAGTATATTCAAATCCCTGCAGGGAAGAGGGAGCTAACTTCTTCTCTGTGGTCCATGAGAGTAGAGCAAGGACCAGAGGAACATTTCAGGGGCAGATTTGCCATAGGAACAATGAAGAACTTTCTAACAGGTAGAGCTAATGAAAGGTAGAACTGGTTAGAAGCTCCTGTCACTGGGGATGGTCAAGTAGAGATCAACGATTATTGAGACAGAATGTGGCAGAGGGGGCTCCTTGTCACAAAGGGGTGTTCAAGTTGACCTCTAGGCCAGCTGCTGAGGGGCTGGGTTAGGCATGATCTGCCCTGACCTCTGGACTCCCTCTCCTATTAGAGACAGTGGCTTCTCCAGCCAGGGTATGGACTCCTATGTGGAGATGAGGCCTGTCTCCACTTCATCTTCAAATGACTCTTTCTCTGAGCAAGGTAAGGAGGTACCGGGGGTGGGGAAAGAGAAGAGGCACTAAGGGCTGGAACCATGGAAGGGCAGAGGTGTGGTGGTACAGCCCTGAAGCTTCTTCCCACTACAGGCCTGGACAAGGAGCATGGGTGGCCACTGGAGCTCAGAGACCTGCTCCACTTCTCAAGCCAAGTGGCCCAGGGCATGGCATTCCTTGCCTCTAAGAACGTGAGTCAAAACCAGTCCCTGAGCTTGTGGCTAGCTAGGCCCTTGTTGGAGGGAGGCTGAATCCCCGTGGCACTGGATGAGTGAGGATGAGGGGAGCATAGGGGAGCGTGAATGGGGGCAAGGCAGGAACCAGAGTGCAAAGAAGAAAGTGGGCAGTGAAAGCAGGGCATCAACGGGCAGCAGGAGTGAGTGGGAAAAGGAGTGCCCAGGGTTCCCTCAGGAGGAATGGAGCCACCACCTGAGCAACTGCCTGTGCCTCCAGTGTGCACGGGCTGGGAAGAATACTCTCTCCATGACTTGACTTTATTCATTCACTTTTACTCAAAAGCACATGGTCTCATGGGCTGAAAAAACCTTTCTTAGCTGGGAAAGCCTGAGTCTTTGCTTTGGCCCCAGAACAATGAGCTTTTCATGCTGTAAAATGGGGATGATAATGGAACCTCCTTCAGAGAGTTGTTCTGAGGATAGGACATAAAATACTCAGTCCAGGAGTAAGTGCTAAGGAGCAGGACTTTTATCATCACCCTAATAGCACAGACTTGGGAGTCCTGGGCTTGAGTGCTGGCTCTGCTGTGTGACTTAGAGCAACTATTTAACTCTTAACTTTTTAACAACTCTTTTACTCTGAGTGCATTTCTACATCTACAAAAATGAGCACACTCACAGATGAAAACAAGGTTGAAACAGGTGCAAATGCTTAGGGAAGGGGCTAGCACAGAATAAGGCCCTCAGGGTGGCACCTACTCACAGCACGAGGGGCTCATTGTTTCTGGGGCCTGAGTGAACATCCTAGCTCTCAGCCAGCTCCTGCTGCTTAGAGACAAAAGGTCAGGAGGGCATGGCACTCGGGTGCTGGTGGTTTCATCAGATTGTCTCAGATCTGGGCCCTGGCAGAAGGTAGGAGTCCAGAGTAAAGAGCTCAAACTGATGTCCTCCTCTGAGGGAGACCCCAAGGCCCCTGAAGCCCTCCCTGCCCCTTATTCTCAGGTAGGGAAGGGCCCCAGACTAACTTTGTGGTGCTTCCCCCCAGTGCATCCACCGGGATGTGGCAGCCCGAAATGTGCTGTTGACCAGTGGGCGTGTGGCCAAAATTGGGGACTTTGGGCTGGCTAGGGACATCATGAATGACTCCAACTACATTGTCAAGGGCAACGTGAGTGCTGGGACTGGATGGGCTGGGCTGGGGAAGGGATGGTGGGCCAGGACCCAAGGTGACACGGGACTGCTGTACTAGGCCCGCCTGCCCGTGAAGTGGATGGCTCCAGAGAGCATCTTCGATTGTGTCTACACAGTTCAGAGTGATGTCTGGTCCTATGGCATCCTCCTCTGGGAGATTTTCTCACTTGGTAAGCTGCTGGGGACCCCCATGCCCTGTACCTTGTTGTAACTATAGGGTTGCTTTCTGCCCAGGAGAGAGAAAGGATTGGCGGGAGTGAAGAGATGTGCAAGGGCTGAGCTAAACCAAGAGCTACATCTCCTGTGTAGACTGGGCACACCTTCTACCCCTCTGCTTATACATGCCATTTCCTCTCTATCTGAGATATTTATTGTTGTTGTTAGGCGCCATCAAGTCAATTTTCAATAGCCCCCTGTATTACCAAGTAGAACTTCCTCATAGAGTTTTTCAGGCTGTAATCTTGGGAGAGCAGATAAAGATCTTTCTTGCATGGAGTAACTGGGTGGGTTTGAACTGCCAACCTTTTGGCTGACAGCTGAGTGCTTAACCACTGTCCCACCAGTCCTTAAAGATGGTGTGGAATTATAAACATAATTAATGTACTGAACCATACATGTGAAGACTGTTGAAATGGCAAATGTTTTGTTACATATGTGTTTACCACAATTTAAAACAACAAACATACCACCCAAGGGGCTCTGGCTTTATCCACAGGACTTACTAAAAAAACATCACCATTATCCAGCTTGAGTTATTCTACTGGCTCCCAAGGAACTTGCACTCAATTCTCTAACCACCTCAGGTAGCGCAGGTGTATCTTTAACTGATAAACAACTGAAGTTCTGGTCTGACTCCAAGACCTGTACTGGAGCTCTTAGTATATTACAGTGTGAGGCAGCCAGGCTGAAGTCTCTCAGCTTCCTATAAAGTTAAGCCCCTTGCCCACAGTAAGCACTTGATAAGGGAAGTTGCCATTCTAGCATCATCACGGACCAAGTGGGACCCCTGGCACCTCAGCTTCACTGATATACACAGGTGTAGGGGAAGGTGAGGGTGAGCTCCTGAGCATGGCTTCTCACATGACCTTGGACTTTGCAGGGCTGAACCCCTATCCTGGCATCCTGGTAAACAGCAAGTTCTATAAATTGGTGAAGGACGGCTACCAAATGGCCCAGCCTGCATTTGCCCCAAAGAATATGTGAGTGAAGGGGTCCCAGCGCAGATTTTGAATTTCCATGGGCGGGGATGGAAGGGAATGTTACTCTACTCTTTCTCTCCATAAGGTTCTGGGGTCAGGCTTCATCTCCCCCACAATGCACTCTAAAACAAGCCTGGGTCTCCACTGTTTCCTAGGTACCATGGGGGAGGGGGAAAGTTCTGAGAGGAGTTTTAACTGAGAGGAATGCTTTTCCCTGTCCTGCTGACCTATGGCGTCAGCCTTTTAGAGTCCACTAGCTGGCCTGTCACTGCAGCCTGACAAGCCACTCACCCCAGCTGATCCAGGAGTTCTCACTCACTTGCTCCCTGCCCCAAGCTGGCCAGCAGCCCTCCTGTCTTTGCATTGGCTGGCTAGTCACTACACCCACTGCACCCATATATGTTCCATGCAGCCTCCCCTGCTTCCAACCAGCCACTCTGCTATGGTGGATCCACCCAGCCACTAACCAGCTCTCACCCTCTCCAGCCAGTTCCTCAAACCTATCCACCAACTTCAAGATTGTCCCTTCTTAGTTCATGAGTTCGATCAAGATACTTACCATCTCAGAGCTTTCTTCCCTCATCTGCCAAAACAGGGTGATGAAAAGTACCTTTCCCGGAGTTACCGTGATTAAATGAGAGACCATGCCAAGAACTTAGCACAGGTCTTGTGTTAAGCGCACTTTTAGACCTCTGCTGGCTATGACTGTTAGGGGTGGGGGAAGACCGGGGGGGAGCCTCTCACAAGCTCCTTGTCCTGTCTTGTCCAATCTCCAGATACAGCATCATGCAAGCCTGCTGGGATCTGGAACCCACCCGCAGACCCACTTTCCAGCAGATCTGCTTCCTCCTTCAGGAGCAGGTCAAAGTGGACAGGAAAGAACAGGTGAGTGGGGCAAGGCTCAGGGCAGGGGTTGTTAAAGCAGGCCGGGTTCGGCGTGATGAATAAGGACTGACCCTCTCCTGTCCTCTCCTGCCCTCAGGACTATGCCAACCTATCCAGCAGCAGCAGTGGTGGTGGCGGCAGCAGTGAGCCAGAGGAAGAGAGCTCAAGCGAGCACTTGGCCTGCTGTGAGCAAGGGGACAGTTCCCAGCCACTGCTGCAGCCCAACAACTACCAGTTCTGCTAAGGAGGTGATGGCAGGGAAGTGCTGCCTCTCCTCCAAGCTTCCACTCTTCCATGCATGGGCAACATGGAGAAAACACAAACTCTGCCCTTGGTCTGTCACTCAACAGCCTGCCCAGCTCTGAAACTCAGGAATATGGACGACCCACAGGTGGTCAGAGGACCCCACTTCCAGAACCTGGGCCATCACTGCCAGTAAGCGGCTGGGGGCTGAGCCCCTCCCCCCTCCCCCACCGTTCTCAATGCTGCCAGCCTCATGTTTGCTATGCCAACTGGTGAACCCCCAGCTCACTCTTTTAACCTTGTTCCCACTTCCAGGAACCCCTTTCCCTAGCCCTCTTACGTGTCGATGGTTGTATGCCTCACAAGCCCTCAGGAGCTACCCTAGTGCTGAGAAAACAAGGCTCCCCAGAGCAGCAGAACACAGGAGCCCCCTTGCTTGACTGCAGCAGGTGGGGAGGCAGGTGCTCGCAGGCTGCACTCAGCTCAAACCCTCAGGGAAGGTGGCTCCTTTATAAGAATCTAACAGCACCTCCCGGTCTCTGCCCTATAAAAGCCTTCACCTCAACCCCACTCCACCTGGATCTGGAACTGATGTAATGAGCCACGTGGCAGCTAAAAGTTAGGGGTGTTCTGCCTAGTACTCTGTCATCCTGGGCGGGAAAGCACAGGACTTTGGCGTGTGGCTGGCCACACCAAGCAAGAAGCATGCGCTTTTCCAAGTTGAATCCTAACAACTAACAGTCACACTCCAGGATGTCTCCGTCAACATTAAACTAACAGTATTAATGCAGCTGGCTCTCTGATTCTTTGTGCCACACTGGCACCAGCCAACCCCCTGGGACCTCCTTCATGTGTAGCACCTCTGGAGCTCAACTGTACTGTGCCCACACTATGACCATGGATTGACTCTTATTTACCCAGACCAGATAATTTAATAAACTTTATTCTTGTCAGGGGAAGAGGGAGGGGAAAAAGCCACCTACTCCACTCCTCTTAATAAATTAAATAACATACGGCCAATTTCCGTGCCCTAAGCAAACTATGGGCACTTGAGCCAGTCCTGCTGTTTCCTTGTGGCCCAATCTGCTTCCCCTTCACAGAAGGGAGTTTTTTCTACTGCTGCCAGGTTGTGTCATAACCATGGGCTGCATCCCCTCTCTGGTGACGGTCCCATGGCCCAAGAGGATGTAGGGTGCAGCAGTGGCAACCAGGGAAAGGAGGAGGGGATCCTCTTCCTCAAAGCTCGGGATAGAGAAAAGGCCTGGGAGAGCTGTGGCTGTCTCTCCCTCCTCAGCTTCCCCTAGGTTTGGGTACAGGTTAGAGCAGACTCGAGAAATGCATCCCTCCTCCAGGGAGAATCAAGTGCCCAAAGGAACCCCTAGAGCTGATGAGGCCCTCAAGGCCCCAAATCAAAGGCAACAGGCTATGGAACACATGTGGCTTCAGGGACTGGAAACAGGGTTACCTCGATGGAGGGAAGAGATGCCTGAGCAGCATTTCCTTCTAGCTCTGAGATTCCTGCCTTGGCCAACTCCGAGGACCTCTACCCTGACCCACACCAGGCCCAAGGGAAGCCCCACTAGCCATCAGCCTTTCCCTCAGTCTCTCTTCCCTTCTGTTGAACAGACTATGTTCCCCAAATACTCTCTCAGGGCCCAGTGAAGAGTTTTCCGGTGCCACACCTGACCCCCAATGGGTGGTGAGGTTCGGGACCAAGGATCCTGGGCTCCACTTTGCTCAGGAAATGGAAGCTCTTTGGTCAGTCCCAGCAGTCAGAGGCCCTCCCCACTGGTGAACACTTCTGCTGGTTTGCTGGATAGATCTGCCTCAGGCAAGGCCCTTACTATGGCTTGAGAGAGATGGTGCAATCCCTGTATAACAGCCTGGCTCATTCTGCCACTGTGGCCACCTCTTCTTCCTCTCCTTCCTCCTCTGTCTCTGTCTTGATCTGAGCCACGCCAAGGCGGTAGAGGGTATCCCGGATGACCACTTCGCCAGGCTGGCAGCTCTGCACAATGTCGTGGATCTGCCGGTTGACAATCTCGCGGCTGGTGAGGAAGTCTACGAGGCGGTTATAGAGGTAATAGTGGGTGGCATTGTCAAAGGCAACAGGCTGCTGGCGGACACTGTTTGGTTTGCTGTCTGTGATGGAGGCCAGGATGGCTGCGTAGGGTGCCAGCTCAGGGCATAAGGTTAGGGAGTGGTGCCCAGAACTGGGGTCACCAGGACTGGGCTCTGTGCCTACATGGACAATGCGCCGTGTAGCCGTCTTAGTGACTGGGTGCTGGACAGAGTGCTCAGTCTCTGTCATGTCCACAGTATAGTGCTGGTCCAAGAGCTCTGGGCAGGACACACTCTAGAAGAGATACAAGAAGCCACGTGTGCATGAAGGAATGACTAAGGCGGAACCTGTGTGGTGGATTAGAGCAAAGACTGTGGGGTTGGACAGCCCTGGTTCAAACCCTAGCTTCACCACTGAACTATGTCTCCTGATGCAGTCTCCTCTCCTTCTCCTTTCTGTACCTCCATTTCCTCATGTGAGAACAGGGAATGGTAATAGTGACTACATCCATTCTCAGAGCTGATGTTGGATTATACAAACTGTTATTGTTATTATGATTAGTCAATTCAGGCTTGGGGCTGCAGTGGAAGTAGGGAGGGACTGGTTCTGACTAAGACTACGATGCCTTTCTGGAGTCCCCAGGACAAGCTCACAGAGTCACTGAGCCCAGGAAGTACAGAAAAGATGCATGATGACAATGTTGTTTTCTTCGAGGCAAAGCCAGAGAGGTCTTACCCTCCCATAATACAACCTAACAGAGGTACTCACTCATTTCCTGAGTACCTTCCTCTTAGTAACAGTCCTAGTATTTCTTCCAGCAAAGGGCACAGCTGGCCTTAGAAGGCCAATGCCTCTCAAGTGCCTGAGACAGTGTGTATCATGGCAAAAGACAAGGGCTCTGCCACTAACTTGCTGTGTGACCCTGGACAAGTCCACTCCCCTTGCTAGGCCTTACTTTTTCCTTTTAATAGAAGAAGGTTGAGTAAGATCAGAGTTTTCTACACCAATGTGTCTCTAGATCACAACAGACATGCTATGTAGTACATTTGGGATATCCTGACTACTAAGTAACATGCTGTAGCCTGACTCACTGGGATTGCTCAGTAAATATTTGTGGAGTAAATGCTGGTTACAGAGCAACAAGACAAAATATTGGTAGAGATAAAGGATGTTGGGGATGACTTCCTGAAGAACCATGATTTATTCTAGTTCCTCCAGAGGTACTCACCACAGGTGGTTCCATGGGGCTAGAGAAACAGCCCTGGTTCTTCCCCCACATCTGGTTGGTCAGCTCTGGGTAGTAGAGATCAGCACATAGAGCCACTGGTGTGGCCATATCTACCACGTAGACAGGTGGCCAATGGCGAGAAGAGGCAAGTAGATCTACATGGTCACGGGCGCTCTCACCCCGCACAAGGTACTTAGAGCCACAAACCACCTGGCATGGGGGAGGGAGGGCAGAGTACAGGGTTAGGCAGCAGATCTATAAACAGTCCTCACATACTTCTTGCCAGGAAGAGCAGCAAACAGGTTTCATGACTGAATCCTTGGCCACCCTGCTAGAGCCAATGGCATTCTGCTCCTTTCCTGCTTGTGTCCCTAATTGAAGTAGATGAAGTCACCTGCCCTCCAATGAGGAGCTGGGAGCAGCTGTCTGCAAATGAGGCAGAGGGCAGCTGCTCAAAACATCCTCCAACATATCATCTACCAAAGCATCACCTAAGTCCAATGGTTCCCAACACTGCTGCACAGCACCCTCACTAGGAGCTGATGAAAATGTGGACTCCTGGCCTCAACCCAAACGTAAGGAATTATTAGGGTCTATGGGATACAATTTAAGTAGCTGTTTATAGCAAGCTCCCCACTAGATCCTAAGTGCTGCTAGTTGGGAGCCTCTGATGGAGTCCAGTAAACACTTCCGCTGACCAGGCACCCAGGCAACATACCACAGCTGGGCAGCTCTGCATACACTGGAGAATTCTACCCAACTCTACCTCCCTACCTTTGCCCCCACAGATGCCCCATCATGTTCTTGTGAATCTTCAAGCATCTCCCTCAGACAAAGGATTTTGTTAAAGGAGTTGATCTGCTTCCCTTTTGAACAGCCAGGTCACCCTGCTGGCTCATTTACCTCAGAGCACTGAAGGCTTATTAGGCCAACCTTTCCCCAGTTAGTGACAGGCCAGTGAGCTTTTTGCCCCCAGTATCTTTCTGGGCCTACCCTGTCATATGGTACACCCTGTTCCAGAGTTGATCTGATGGTTATCCAGCGCACACCCTTCTACAGGCAATCAGAGTGAGCTTCTGAAAGCCAAAACCAGACTGTGTCACCACTCCCACTCCCCATTCAAAACCATTCACTGGCTCCCCTATCAGAATAAAATCCAAACTGCTGCTAGGACCTATGAAGCATGATGTGATCTGGCCTCTACTGACACCTCCAACCTCCCTCCTCTTGGGTCACTGCACCTTCCCATCTTTGCCTGGAACATTCCTTCCCTGGCTCATCACCAGGGCTCCTCCCCATCCTTCAGGTCTCAGCCTTCTCTGGTTGTTCTACACAGACCAGGTCCTTCCCTGTTACTTGCTATTCCAGGCTTTTGTCTAGCTCCTTCAGAGCTACTGCCACAAGCTGTGGTGACTTTATTCCTCCACTAAAATACAAGCTCAAGGACATCAGTGTTTCAGTGGTAGAATTTTCACCTTCCACGCAGGAGGCCTGGATTTGATTCATGGTCAATGTATCTCATACACAGTCAGTGGAGGCTTGTGCGTTGCCATGATGCTAAATAGGATTCAGTGGAGCTTCCAGACTAAGAAAAAAGGCTTAGAGATCTACTTCTAAAATTTAGCCAGTGAAAACTCTCTGGATGACAACAGTCTGATCTGCAGCCCATTATGAAGATAGAACAGGGCTGGACAGCAATACATTTTGTTGT